TTTATTTTTTCTATATTATGAATATTAAGTCCTTGAAATTATTTTCCTTATATACGAGTATACACATACATATATAGCGTTTATTTTAAGATACAAAATTTTGTATAACATAGAATTCAAGGTAACAAGTTTTTCCTTGTTAAATAGGGAAAAAAATACATAAAAATTTTTTTTTTTATGAAAAGTAAAAATCAAAAAAAAAGGAAAAAACAAAAATTAATATGAAATTAGTAAGGATCCTTTTATATTAATATTCTCATAAAATTCAAAATAAAAGAGGGTTTTAAATTTGGTTTATTACTTTTAGCCTCTATATACTGTAATAACTAAAATAATATCCGTATAGTAGCATTTAATGTAAAAATATTTCTATTTTAAGTACATACTTTTAGAAACATGTGGGTTTCTAAGAAGATTTTGAGAAGAAAAGAAAAACCTCACGTATTTATAATACTATACTTACAATAAAAATAGGAGAAATTTTTATTTTTTAACAATTAAATTGATACACACATGTGGAAATGATTTAGTAATATAAAATATATGTAAGTGATTTTTATTAAAACGCTTTAAAACTATTAATTAAAAGAAATTATGCGCATTCGCTTTTAGAACAGGGAAGGTCTATATAGAACGATTCTTTGATTGTTGTGAATAGAAATAAATTTTTTCAAGCCATTCTTGCACGTGTTGTATAAATTAAATTAAATATAGCAAACAATTGTTATACAAAGAGCAAGAAGCATCATATGCGGTTTTAAGCCATACTATATTTAAAATCTCAAAATTTCACTCTTCAGAGTTTCACATTTTAGAAAAGAATATTCAAAATAGTTTTTTATTTTATAGCCCAAAAATAATTGATACTTTTGGAGTTATTATTTATTTATTATACGAATTTCGAAAATGAAGCCAATTCTCTTCTCCGTTGCCTAAAGTTTAAATGTCCTTATTACAACACAAGCGAAACAATAATGAGAACAAAAACGAAAGAATCTTTTAATTTTGTTTTTGGAAAATAATTTGTGCTTACAACATTTTAAAAATTGAATGACAAATTACCTGATTTTATTGTACTCAATATTTTATTAATTATGATTAAAGCTGCAAGTGGCAATTTTAAAACCCAATAGTGGAAAAATTAATTGAAATATATTTATGAAATAAAAGCAAATCTGAATTGATTTAAATTCAAATTATTCAAAAAATTATAAAAAAATCATATTTTTTTTGTATCTTGATTGTATTAAGTCGGAAACCAACATTTGCACTTAAAATATTTTAATGGCTATTTTTAATTTAAAGTAATTCAAGCTAATTTTATTATTTTTAATTAATTAATAATAGTTTAATTATTATTTTTAGATTAAAAAAAGCAAAAAAAAAAATTTTAATTTATTTGAGTGTTTCCGAATAATTCTTAGTAAGATTAACAGTTTAATAATTATTAAAAATGTAGATAAGCCATAGGATAATTGAATTGAATTAATTAAATTATACTGAAAACTCTTAAAGGATCTCCTCCTCTACTTATTTGCTTAATATCTATAATTAATTCATCTAATTTCAATTGAATATGTTATTTAATTTTATTATGAATTTTCACCGCAAAAATTGAATGAAATTGTGGTTGAAAATTTTCCACAAATTTTAATTTAAAAAAAAAAAGGAGGTTTTAAATATGAATAGAGAGTGAGTGTATAGCAAAAAAAATTCATGCTTTTGAATAATTATAGAAATTTAAAAGAAAAATTAAAAAAAAAAAAATTTAAATTAATATTTTAAATTACCTTTTACCTATTTAAATTACTTTCATTCGTATACCAAAATTTATCAAATTATTGCATACGTTTAGGATGAGCACAATTTAAAAATTGAAAGAAACATAATGGTTAGAAATTTGTAGAAAATATATTTGATAGATTTAATAAAATAAACTTGGAATGTCTTATACAATTTAATGTGGAACACACATTTCAAAGTTTTTTTTTTGCTGCCGGAAAATGCTCCAAAAGTTATGCAGCATCATTTGTAATATATACAATTTTATCACAATATGTGAGTAATGTGCACTCTAGAATGAACAATTATATTCGTTCTAGAGTATGTACATTTTTTTTCTTCACAATTTTGCTGACTTCTCCTGAAAATAAACCTTATGATTCTTTCTGTGCTGTAACACTAATATTCTTCTATATTCTGTTGTACATACACTGTACATAATTACATGTTAATTGCACTTAATAAAAGTTATGTAATATTTAAGTACATTTATTTGTTCACATAACCTATAATTAATAATTAAAATCATGTATATAAAGGTTTCTATTATTTAGACCATAGGGAATATTTTTGTATGTAGTTTACTAATGAAATTTAATGTAAATTAACATAATTTCTTTCTTCCGCTTGCTTTCCTTTTCAATATCCTATATGTATATATATATATATATATGTATATGTACTATATAATTTTTTTTTATATATGCATATATACAATGGATAATTTTGACGTTTCATAACTATTACTTAAATATTAATAGCTTATTTAAGGAAAAATAGGTTTTTTTCGTTTTTTTGCTTTATGATTTCTATATAATTATAGTTTTGCATAATTACAGGCATTTCATATATTAATAGTCCTTAATAATTTTTCTCCCTATATTATAGTATAAATATTGATTTAGTTTTTCATACTTTTCGTTTTGTTTTTTGTCTTTATTATGCCTTAATTTTCATTTTTGACCTAGTCCGTTGGAAAATTAATATCTGCGTATAATATTAAACATAATATAATTGTGTAAATAATTATGTATATAAAATATTATAAGAGCTACTGTTGAGGGGTATTATACCCTAATTTTGTGTGTTATTAATATTTGCATTTTTATGTCTTAATTTTCATTTTCTTTTTGTATTATAAGTGCTTTTATCAAAAATGTGTGCTAATATATAAATAATGTCTATACTAAGAAAATTTATTTAAATGTACGAAAGTGTTGCCGTTTCCCTTTTATTAAAAAGCTAGTTTTGATTATATATATTCTTGAGAGGAATTAGAATTGTTAGAAAAATGTTATACAAAATTATTTTTCCAAAAAAAATTTATAAACTAATATGGGATTAGACAAAATCATGGAAAACAACTCACAAGACCACTATCATTAGAACTTTCAATATTGCTGTTAAAAATCAAATTAATGAGGAAATTTTTATTGGATGAATTTTTTATAACCCAAGCAATTGTAATTTATGAGATTTTTATTTAATAAAATTTCTGATTGCCTTCTTAGTTCTTACATAATATGCGGTCTCCATACGTGCAAAACTTTCTAACATATTGTAAGTTCCATATTCTATGTTGATTTTCCATATATGAACAACCCCATATTTTCTATAGTCAAAACCTTGAATTGTCTAATCTTATCGCTTGGAGCTAACAAAATAATCTATATAGCATTTCATAAAATGTAGTAGATTTCAAAAATCCTTTGTCTATACATTTTTCCTTTTGTATATTTTTATTCACGACCTAATTAACATAACATATTTTATGTATATACCCAAAACCATATCAACGATACTACTCTACATATAGCACACCACACAGTGGGATCAACAATATATACAAGAAAATTTTTAATGAATATTGTTCATGAGTATACAATATCACTTATATACATACATTTATATCAGTTATATCAGTAATTAACTATTACTAAGTAACAAAATAGAAATGACTTGTTAACATAAAAATATCAAAATTGTCATAATATTAATAACGTATTAAAAATATAAGAAGAAAAAAGAAGAAAAAGTTGAATAACGTTGAGGAAATCACAAATATGAAATTAAGGATTATTTATCTAAGAATAGAAATAAAAATTGTACATAAGCTATTTAAAAAAAAAAATATATTATTTTTCATATTTAATTAATTCGAATGAAAAATGAAAATAAAATCAAATCTTCTTTTCACTTTTACTTAAAAAACATACTGAAAATTTTGTCACTACGTTACGGGCAAATTAATGTTGTAGATCAGAAACGTGTGTGTACTTATTAATTATTCAAATAAAAACGATCCTAACGCAACATTTTCAGTAATTTTTATTAAAGGCTTCTCAGGGCACGGCTATTTTTAACCATAATTCCATTTCGAAAAATAAATTCCTTTTCCGATTTACAAACCATTTCCAACTATACTTATTGCGGCATAGTTTAGATTGTCGCATTGAATTGTTTGAATTAAATTTTCCACGTATGCCGTATAAATCATAGGATACTGTGACCAGTGTTAACTAATATTGCAGTGTCAAGCAGAGTTTATGGCATCTGTTCTTTTACCTAGAAGTGTCGGTTTAAAATTCAGGCCATTAGTATAAAATATTAATGTAACAGTTTATTACCATAATGTCCATAATATTTGATTTTCAACCAACAAGAGTGAACAATAAATTACAATAACCTTAAATATTTAATTTTAAGAAAAAATACGGTAGGCTAATTTGATTAGTAAAAACTAGAATCACGACCCCTCTGATGTCATGAAGCAACTCTATATCGTTCTTATCTCATTAAGTTTTGTGAATTTGAGCATTCCTGATTCGCTCTGACCTTGAATCTAGATGTTTGACAGATTGTATCAATAACAAATTTTATATTTTAAGCTAAAATACTAATATACACGAAATTGTGATTACGAATCGATCTGTTTTTGAACATGCGAAAATTGAACTTCAACACCGTTTCCATATTTATTGCATCCAGCAGTTCTATATAAGAGTGTTATCATTTTGCCCTAAAATTCAACATAATTTTTTTTTCTATGTAGATTATTTTGACGTATAACAGTTTTTGTAATTAATATTGATTTCTATATAAAATTAGTAATTAATATATTTTGCCGATAACATTAAGAATATGCATGTAATTCTAATAAAATATAATATTTAAGTTTTTATAATAATTATTATTATATTTCAATTAATTATATTTACCTAAAAGTGTCAACAGCAACAAATATGAATAAACAATGTTATATCCATTCCTTCGCTTATAATCCTTAAACATGATTTCCACTATTATTTTTAATAAATTTCCTATTTTTTTTTTTTATTATTATTATTTTATCTTTAGCTATTATTATACACTAATCTTATATATCTTATATATATTATATAATAAGAAATTAATTTATATTTATAATAATTATATTTTAGATTTTTTATAATAATTTTCTTCTCTTTTATTTTTCTATTTATATTATTTACTATTATTTTTATTAGGTTTTGATATTATATTACCTAAATATACTTATAATATAATAATATATTAATTTACACATGTGTATATGTATATGTGTATATATACGAGTATATCTAGTATATTTAGGTGTATTATATTTTGTTTTTTATTTGTTGTTTTTAAATACTCTGAGTATATTAATTTTCTCTCGCTGCTTTTTTTTGTGTTAATTATTTTTTTATACTCTTGTTTTTTTTCGCTCTCCTCTCGATGTTTTATTATATTTTTTTTTAATTTGTGTTATACAATCCCGTTACGTTATAATAAATATGTATTGTTGTTGTTAATTTTGGTTGTTGGTTTTTGTTTGTTTTTGGCTTACAATAGTAGATATTTAAAATATTGATTTAAAATATATGTACATACATGGTTAAATATATACATATATATATAATAATTTTGTATATTAAACACCGTTATTATTTATTACAAATTTTTTTTTCCCTCTGTTGTTATTTGTTTTCAGAAATGTAAATTATTATTTTGTACATTAGGTTTTATTTTGCATGTACATTATTGTTATATTTTGTTTTTTCTTATACTAATATTATTTACTTACATTTTATGTTTGTTTTTTTTCTGTGTTCACTAATACTTTATTTATTTATTTATTACTTATATTTTTTTTTGGCAAAAATGAGTTGTTCATTTAAAAGTATGTTTGTGTGTTAAATATAATTTCATGTTAAGCATATATGAATAGAAATTATTCTGGAATTTATGTTTAATACTGTTATACACTATGTTTTATAATAGTGTATTGATTTACAATATTATATAACTGTTATATAAGTTTGTATGTTTGTATTCCATTAAAGATTTATTATTTTTTCCTGTTATTTATTATTTCTATCCATTTAAGAATTATAATAATTTTTTTTTTGTTGTTTCTGTAACTACTTCGAATTGGTTTTTGAGTTGAAGATGATGGATGGTGTTTAACAATATTGAATAGGTATAACAAAAAAAAAAAATTATAATAAAAAAAGTAAAATTCGCAAAATAAAAGAAAATGGAATTCGCAACAATTTATTATATTCTTGGAAATTTTTTGTTTTTTGTATAAAAGTTTTGTAGTTTCACTTTGTTTGTTTTTGTTTCGGAAGAAAAATACCTGTTTTTCTTTATTTTTCTGCGTTTTATCCTTATTGTTATTCAATTATTTTGATTTTATATACTTATGTATGCAAGTTCATGAAATATTAAAATTCCTAAGTTTTCAGAGTCTTTGGAGTATTTGATTTTCTAATTTTATGAATTTTTATTTTTATTTCTGGACTATTTTGTATATGTAAGTAGGTATGTTTAACGGTAAGTAATAATACTGTTTTGTGCTACATTTCATAAATTATAAATTTTATTTTATTGTATAATAGAATTATGCCACAATAATTTTTCTTTATTTAGCCTTGTTTTACAGTACAATGTGTATAGCAGTTTTGATTTAACAGAACTGTATGTTTATTGATTATTATGTATTAATATTTTTTTTTGTCTAATTTTTTTATTCGATTTTTTCTCGTTCCGATTTGTTGTTATTCTTTTATATTCATATACGTAATTTATATAAACACTATTTTGCTTAATGTATGTTATGTTTTTCTTTTACATAATAATATTTTGTCTATAATATGTATAGAACATTCTGTTATACATGTATTATATTAATATTATTTATTATAACATGTACTGTTATGTGTTTGTGTATGTATGTATATTTATTGTTCAATGATTTTGATAAATTGATTTTAAATTTATGTATATATGCATATAATATACATGTGTACATACATACATATATGTGTTGTTATTTTATTTTCTTTGGGTTTTTTGTATTATCCTTTCACTTATTATTTTGTAATTTTTTATATAATATGTATTATATTTTTATATTATATAATATGTATAACAATTATAGCAGTTCTTTTATAAAAATTCTATGTTGTTCGATTGAAGTAATGGGAAAACATTTTTTATAGAAATGTTTTGTATAATAGTATTTTATATAATACGTTTATATTATTATACAGACGTTGATTAATATTTGAAATTACACGTTTGTATATAAGTAAGTATGTATGTATGTATTTTATTATTTTCAAATTAATACATAATATTATAGATTTGCCAGTGTTTATATATTTTTTTTTTAGTGTTATACTCTTGTTCTTGATATAATTTTTGTTTTTATTTTGTCCTTGTTGGAATATTATAATGTATATATATATATATATGATATTATATTTTTGCTAACGAATACATTTTAGGTTACAGTTCGTTAAACACTTTTTTTTTCTTTATTTATTTCATCCTTTTTTATTTATTTTTTTTTTTTTGTGTGTGTTTTTTATTGTTTTCTATTTTTATGTAATTCTATATTTTTTTTTTCCTGCATCGTTTGTTCTGTCTGAAAAATAATATATTATTTTATTTAAAATAAAGTTGGGTTAAACCAATGGTTTTTAAAGAAGCACATTTTCCTCCAACAAGTGAAAATAATGCTTCTAAAAGAAATTTTCTGCGCTATTAAAATTACTTTCACTGATATATCAAAATGTTTAGAAAAAATTGCATACCTTTAGGATGAGTAGAAAAAAAAACTTTAAAGAGGCGTTAACGTAATGCTCGAATTTAAGGGTTAACTGCGTGGAATAAGAAAAATAATTATATTTTAAATTGGCACGACTTTTACCGTTAGCGTTCTGCTTTTACAGAAATTTAGAAAAGCTTGCAGTTTTTGAAATATAAGGCTCGGAAAATTTAAATTTTACCAATTTTAGAAGTGATAACTTGAGAAATAATCAGGGAATATTTGGGAGACGAAAACTTGAGATGGACAAAAATTTTCTTCTGGTAAAATTTTTAGAAGGGAGGAGATAGGTAAAAATGTTATTTTACGGAAAAATGTTTCTAGTAAAGATCTATGTTCATATAAAATTTCATTTTTCTATTTTAAAGGATGTAGAAATTTTGTAAACATACAAACAGACGGTGGGACAGAATGAAACTAATAAGTACTTTTTTCTAAAATTTTTTTTTTTGAAAAGTGCTAAAAAAAGGGAATATTATTTATAACTACATGTCTATTTTTTGGTGTACATAAATAATATTTTTGCTATAATATATGAGACATACATATTAATATTATGTTAGTACATACACTCATATAATTATTTCATACATATGTATTGTAGAGAATACATTTATGTTACAATAATAAATTTGTGTTTTGAAATAAATTTTATTGTTGTAAAAATAAATCTTCTGTTAATTTGTTAATTCTACATTTTTATTATTATTATACAGGAATGTAATTTTGTATATATACATGCTTGTATATTTATATACACACATACATTATGCAAATATACATTATGTTTATATGCGCCTAATTTTCTTTTTGAACAATAAGTACAATTTAAGCATTTTTTAGCGAATATTATAAGAATTTTGCATTATTAAATTTAATTATAAAGAAAAAAAAATTTAGGTATTAAAATGTTCATGTAGGTGGCTATAAATTTTTTATATTAAAAAATTTTTACCTTGAATATCATTTAAGACATTTATAAATTAAATTCGTTCATATTTCCAAGTTTTTATAGAATAAGTGATTCAGTTGAGAGTACCATTTGGAACGCCGAAACATGGTAATTATAGTAGCATAATTTTAGAGGTAATTCCATTCCATATACCACAATGCAACTAAAATTGTTAAAATATTTAATAATTTTAAAATAATTTTTGTTTGGAATTAAAATTTTTATAATTCTGACGTACATACACTGAGAATTTTATATCTGTGTTATCGCAAGATAAAATCGACTTAAGCACTTTTGTCCACCATCAATGCGTATAGCATATATTAATACTTGATGAATTTCATATTTTAAAATTTTCATTGTTAAAATTATTTTTAACATTTTATCACATCAAATTAAAATCAAAATGTTTATCGCCCAGCAACAGGCAACAATAAAGAATATTGCAAATAAAAACAATTTTCACGAAATACAAATATTTTGCAAAATAAGTAGCAACTAATCAAAATATAGTATCTTGAACACAAAGTTATGTAACCTTACCAAAAGGAATAATACTTCAATAATTCGTAAAAATGTCGCCTAACAAAATAATTTTCTTACGATATGTGGTTGTAAATCGTTTATTATGTTTGATTTCTATACAAGGTTACGTAAAAACCTGCATAAATTTTTACATTGTAAATGCTTATTTTATTCGGTAATCTTAGAATTTAATATCATACGCTCAGTCATTTTCTAAGAAGAATTTCCTAGAAAATTAAATCCAAAACATTTTTTTTTTCTTAAATTTATGCTAAATTCTACGACCTTATTTACAAAATATTTTCACTGTAGCAATAATAATGGAAAATCATTTTCCATTTGAATAGATTATTCTATACAATCTTAGTCTAAATCTCTGATTTTTTTTTCTTAAAAAAAAATTACGTGTAAATTTGAATATAACAAATTTAATTTATAAAAAATTACACTTTAAAATGGAATAATCAAGCGTATTTAGCCCCCATTTACCTTTCTCATCTCGTAGTAAGTAAAAAAACACCTTTTATAATAAATTTTCAATTTAAATCATTTTATTTTTATAGCTTTATACGCCTTGTATATCATCATCTTATTATTTATATTGTGTCTTGTGTCAGTTGTAAAAATAACAAGGACATGAAAATATTGAAACAATAAAAAAGTTGAAAACATTTTGTATAAAAAAAATAAAAAAAAAATTTTTATAACCTTAAAAATTTCCTAAATGCAACATTCTTCCATTTTCATATCCTGAAAATATTTTCTTTTAGCATTAAAAAAAAAAAAAAAAATTTTTTATCCGTTTTTGAAAAAAAAATGTGCGCGGATTGCATTTAATTTCCTTTAACAAAATGAAAAAAAAAATAAAACCGAGAAACAAAGATGGTGTAAATCAAGGCCATTAATTTTTTTTTTCAAATATAAAGAATTAAGTTTTCACGTACTAATATCGAGGTTAACCTTTAAGAGGCTGTAATTAAAGTACTATAAATTTTTAAAGTGAAAAATTTAAGTGACTTTCTGTTTTATAATATGCGAATATTTTTGTAACATGAAAATTTCACATAAAAAACTTTTTTGGCAAGAATATACAAAGAGAAAGAAATTCGAGGACCCCACTATATATGCAGTGTTCAGGTTCCATGTCTCATTTCTTTTAATAGCTTAATAGACGAGAAAGCAAAAGTTATGAAAACATTTTTGAATATTTTAATTAAAAAAAAGTTTTTGTTTTTTTAATGTACAATCGTGATTTAAAAGGAGTAATTAAAATAATTTCGAAATAATAGGCCTTATTTTAACACTGTATATGTAGAGAGAGAGTTTATTATATACAGAGACAGAGAGAAAGAGAGATTTTATAATTAAGAATAATAAGAGTACGATTTGTACTTTAAAAATTTTATGATTGTAAGACAAACTTTTGGTGATTTTAATAAAAATATTTAAAAAATAATTTTTTTTTTGTTCAAAAAGAAAATTGTTGATATATTCTCTTGTTTCAATTTCCGATGCCATTTTGAACAAATTAAAGTTAGAAATCGAATTTCAGTAAAACTGATTATATTATTGAGTGTCATAATTCTAATTAAAATTCTAATGATGTTAGTTGAGAAACTGCGCGAAATTTTATGGCTGCTTATTTCGAGTACATAATATTACTTACATTTATTAATTTCACTTATTTTCTCTAACACTCTCAATACTCTCGCAATTGCAATATACAATTTATTTTTGGTGAAAATGGCGGTCACATAAAATGTTTTCTTATATTATATGAAAAAATTATAGAGAGTTATTAGCATAATTTTCGATAATTGGGGAGTATTCGCCATGTTGGTAAGTGGTAAGTACTTAATGTGCTCACAGACTTTAATTTCATTATGACTGATATTCGAATATTTATTATCGAATTTAAAAATCTCTATACTTTTATAATCTTCTATAATAAATTATTAAAAGCTATTCCACTAAATTCCATATGTGAAACAACTTTTCACATTTTGTGGTAAAAATCTATTTTATGTACTCAATTGAATTTATTGAGGCTTTAATATAAATTATTAAGGCTTAAGAAATTTAAAAATAATTTTTGATTATTACCCTTATACGTACATCCTTTCCATTTTAAAAACAAATTAAGATTTACACTTTTTTTTTGCATATTTTTGCAACAATAATAATTAAATATTTATACGGTAACATAAAAATAACTGCTATTATAAATAAATAAATTTTATATACATATATGTAGATTATGCAGATTATAAATATGGGATACTAAAATTATTTTACATATTATTTTGTAATATTGTTAAAATTCACATATTGTGTGTACTCGTCCAATTCATTTAAGCATAAAATTTGAATAGTTTTATAACATTTATTTTAGTGTTTATTGTTAGACCACATAATTTGTATACAGTTGGATAACATAACAAGGATTTTAATTATTATTTTCTATATATATATTTATAATGTGAACATAAATAGATGTACATGGTGTGTGTCGGTGCGAATAATAATAGATATTCTTGTATATGTTTGTATATATGAATGTAATTAAAAATAGAAATTTATTGTTAACATGTCCTTTGCTACCTCTGCTAACTATAATTTTATATTTAATATTTTTATAAAAAAAAATATTATGCACGCAAAATTTTAAATTAAATAAAATATTCTATTAAGGTATATAAGTGAATTTATAATAATATTATATTTATAAAATACTGTTATAAAATTTTTATTATAATGGCTATAATTATATGCGATAATGTGAAAATAATAT